GGCCAGGTCTTTGAAGTGGGCCAGGGCTGCTGACACGGGACAACAGTTGGTAAAGACAGGCCCGGTCCTGACACATAAAGGCTAATGCTGAGTAAAGCCTGAAATATGTGTCTCCTTGTACTGTAGGAAGCCCCTAGTCCTCAGAGAGATGTCACTGGGTGACCTAGTAAAGGGGAAAGACAGGTGAAGAGAGCAGGTAGAGGTACCTGTAAACAGGGACAGAGTGTGTTCAGACAGACAGCATGTTCAAAGTCTTCCTCTATGTGGGACACATATGGAAAGTGGGTTATAGATGAGGCAGGTGAGATTTATTGTCGAGATGATTCCAAGTCAAGGAATTGTATATAATTTGTTCAGAGGTTATCTCTGTCTCTCTCTCTCTCTCTGTCTCTCTCTCTCTCTCTCTCTCTTTTCATGACCTGATGACAGCTGGCTCATGTAGTGAGACTTGTAAGGATAGTAGAGGACAGTAACACAATAGCCAAACAGGGCCTATATAACATACTGTAGCTATAGTACTGTCTCTTCTTAATCGTTGTAATGTTTTACTGTGTACCCCTCTATCACCCCTGACCCCTTATTGAGACTTCCTAAGTGAAGGGTATTATCATAGGATTTACTGTCAGTGTCCAAAGAAAAACAGAAAGAAAGAATGAAAAAACAAACTGTCTCACACTATGCCAGGGACAAATCCTTCTTGGGAATTCCTAGAGGAAATGAGAATGGTAATGAGAATGGGAACGTTGTTCTGTATAGAACAGGAAACCCTCTTGTAAGTCTTCTTTGTTGGGAAGTCCGGAGCCTGCTGTGGATTTTCTCAGAGCTAGAGCGCACTGGGCTCTGGAGATTATTTTGGCAGCCGGTGAAAATTGGGAAAACACAACCTTTTAGGGATGAGTTACACATCATGAATCAATTGGAAAATCTTTGCGGATTCGGGTGGCTTTGGGAAGGTCTGGAATCAATATTCCTTATGTTTTTCACCAATAAAAAGAGAGATGACGATGATATTCCGTGAAACATTACTGGTGGTAGTTACGTGCAGCAGTTTGAACTCTACAGAGAATATACAACTGTTATGTTCTATTAATAATAATAATATGCCATTTAGCAGACGCTTTTATCCAAAGCGACTTACAGTCATGCGTGCATACATAACATTTTTTCCCGGGGATCGAACCAACTACCTTTGCGTTACAAGCGCCGTGCTCTACCAGCTGAGCTACAGAGGAACACAACCTATTAGGTGTGAACAAGGTAGAAGGGTGACAACTGAGCCTAAAGCTTTAGGCAGGTCTCTATCAGGCCATGGAGGTCTGGGTTAGTCTGTTGCCTGTGCACCTAGCTAGACCAAATCTAAGCCTTATATCTGCATCATCTTTACCCTTTCATCCAGGGCCGTGCTCAGACCCCCCCCCCTCTTTCAAAAAATTACTATGTTATGAATTTCAAGATATTAATTACTCTAACTGCCTGAGCCTTATATGTGTCTTTATATAGGCCTATTTATTTCTGCAACACACTCATTCATCACAAACTGTCAGCAAGCTAGTTACAGTGCCTTCTAAAGACATGATCAAATCAAATCACATTTTATTTGTCACATGCGCCGAATACAACAGGTGTAGACCTTACAGTGAAATGCTCACTTACAAGCCCTTAATCAACAATGCAGTTTTTAAGAAAAATACAAGTAAAAAATAAAATAATTAAATAATTAAAGAGTAGCAGTAAAATAACATTAGCAAGACTATATACAGGGGGTACCGGTACAGAGTCAATGTGCGGGGGCATTGGGAAAAGAGGGTAGGCTATCAGCTGATCATTTATGTTGATGATTGATGTGAATCTGCTAGTTAGCTAGCTCGATTCAACTTTTTACTGATTGTGATTTATCTTCAATTCTAATAACTTGATAATATAGCCTAATATTCAGCATCTTCTAACTTATCATATATGGCTAGCTGGCTAGTGGCTTATGTGGATATTTGCATAGCCTTTATGGTGGTTAGCTAGAGTCTAGACTACTGTGTTCAGTGCTTCATTTGTAATTCAGGATGTGCCAGAACAAAAAGTGAGCGTGAGAGGGGGGTGACCTGGGGAGCTCTGAGGTCGTGAGAGGGGGTGACCTGGGGAGCTCTGAGGTCGTGAGAGTAGGTGACCTGGGGGGCACTGAGGTCGTGAGAGTAGGTGACCTGGGGGGCTCTGAGGTCGTGAGAGGGGGTGACCTGGGGGGCTCTGAGGTCGTGAGAGGGGGGTGACCTGGGGAGCTCTGAGGTCGTGAGAGGGGGGTGACCTGGGGGGCTCTGAGGTCGTGAGAGGGGGGTGACCTGGGGAGCTCTGAGGTCGTGAGAGGGGGGTGACCTGGGGAGCTCTGAGGTCGTGAGAGGGGGTGACCTGGGGAGCTCTGAGGTCATGAGAGGGGGTGACCTGGGGGGCTCTTAGGTCGTGAGAGGGGGTGACCTGGGGGGCTCTGAGGTCGTGAGAGGGGGTGACCTGGGGAGCTCTGATGGGGTGACCTGGGGGGCTCTGAGGTCGTGAGAGGGGGTGACCTGGGGAGCTCTGAAGTACCTTTATAATTAAGTATTGTATGCGTATCATCGCATTTGCGCAGTGGCATAGAGCAGTAGAGTAGAGGCGATGCAGTGCCTTAGACCGCTGCGCCACTCGGGAGGCCCGGTATGCTATTTTCTTAAAGGAGCTATTGATCCTCTGTGGTTAAATTATATACCTACTTATGGTGTAGTAGGCTATGCTGAATGATTTCATTTCTTTCTGAACAGACAGCAGTAATTCTATAACTTTGGCAAGTGTATTTACATTTATCAGGGGTGCTGCAGCACCTCCAGAACTATTTCTATTACCGCATTTCAAGCCATGCATGCTTGGATACCGGGCACATGCAATCTCCATACAGGGCAGACTGGGAAAAAGGCACAACCGGGCGCACGTGAGCTCCGTACAGGGCAGACCAACGGACGGGGTAGTGGTGGGGGGTGGCAAACTTGAGAACGACACGATGACTTTGGGGCAGTGTGTTCAGAACAACAGCGACAAAAACTGTATACAAAAAAAGTATAATTATACCACCACCCAAAAAGGCACTTGGCAAGTGGGAGGGAAAAGGGGCGGGTGCTAGTCACAGGTTGACCCCTATCTGTGCACGTGCCTGACAACGTGCTTTCATCACAACACAAACCACTGTGCAAGTTAGACTCACCTTCAACTGTAAAGATATACAGTGTCTTGCAAAAGTATTCATCCCCCTTGGCGTTTTTCCTATTTTGTTGCATTACAACCTGTAATTTAAAAATATTTTTATTTGGATTTCATGTAATGGACATACACAAAATAATCCAAATTGGTGAAGTGAAATGGAAAAAATAACTTGTTTCAAAAAATTCTAAAAAATAAATAACGGAAAAGGAGTGCGTGCATATGTATTCACCCCCTTTGCTATGAAGCCCCCTAAATAAGATCTGGTGCAACCAATTACCTTCAGAAGTCACATAATTAGTTAAATAAAGTCCACCTGTGTGCAATCTAAGTGTCACATGATCTGTCACATGATCTCAGTGTATATATACACCTGTTCTGAAAGGCCCCAGAGTCTGCAACACCACTAAGCAAGGGGCACCACCAAGCAAGCGGCACCATGAAGACCAAGGAGCTCTCCAAACAGGTCAGGGACAAAGTTGTGGAGAAGTACAGATCAGGGTTGGGTTATAAAAAAATATCTGAAACTTTGAACATCCCACGGAGCACCATTAAATCCATTATTAAAAAATTGAAAGAATATGGCACCACAACAAACCTGCCAAGAGAGGGCCGCCCACCAAAACTCACGGACCAGGAAGGAGGGCATTAATCAGAGAGGCAACAAAGAGACCAAAGATAACCCTGAAGGAGCTGCAAAGCTCCACAGCGGAGATGGGAGTATCTGTCCATAGGACCACTTTAAGCCGTACACTCCACAGAGCTGGGCTTTACGGAAGACTGGCCAGAAAAAAGCCATTGCTTAAAGAAAATACTAAGCAAACACGTTTGGTGTTCGCCAAAAGGCATGTGGGAGACTCCCCAAACATATGGAAGAAGGTACTCTGGTCAGATGAGACTAAAATTGAGCTTTTTGGCCATAAAGGAAAACGCTATGTCTGGCGCAAACCCAACACCTCTCATCACCCCGAGAACACCATCCCTACAGTGAAGCATGGTGGTGGCAGCATCATGCTATGGGGATGTTTTTCATTGGCAGGGACTGGGAAACTGGTCAGAATTGAAGGAATAATGGATGGCGCTAAATACAGGGAAATTCTTGAGGGAAACCTGTTTCAGTCTTCCAGAGATTTGAGACTGGGACGGAGGTTCACCTTCCAGCAGGACAATGACCCTAAGCATACTGCTAAAGCAACACTCGAGTGGTTTAAGGGGAAACATTTAGATGCCTAGTCAAAGCCCAGACCTCAATCCAATTGAGAATCTGTGGTATGACTTAAAGATTACTGTATACCAGCGGAACCCATCCAACTTGAAGGAGCTGGAGCAGTTTTGCCTTGAAGAATGGGCAAAAAATACCAGTGGCTAGATGTGCCACGCTTATAGAGACATACCCCAAGAGACTTGCAGCTGTAATTGCTGCAAAAGGTGGCTCTACAAAGTATTGACTTTGGGGGGGTGAATTGTTATGCATGCTAAAGTTTTCTGTTTTTTTTGTCTTATTTCTTGTTTGTTTCACAATAAAAAATATTTTGCATCTTCAAAGTGGTAGGCATGTTGTGTAAATCAAATGATACAAACCGCCATAAAATCCATTTTAATTCCAGGTTGTAAGGCAACAAAATAGGAAAAAGGGTGTGAATACTTTCGCAAGCCACTGTACAATGTAAATTTGGTCAGTGGATCATATGAATTGATCTTTGATGGTAGCCATCATTATTGAACCAGATGATTTAAGTATGTTCATGTTGCTGTGACCTCTGACCCCCTCCTGTCTTCCAGAGCCCCCCAAGGTGTCAGTGGACCCCCGGAACCAGACCTTTACCACGGGACAGGAAGTGAGGATCAGGTGCTCGGCCAGAGGTTACCCCGCCCCCCACCTGGTCTGGACACACAATGACATGTTCCTCATGGGTTCCAGCGGGTGAGGTCACAGCCTTTCACCTCTCACACAGGTCACGCAGGTCAGGGGTGGCAGAAGGCTGCTGTGTCTTGTGTTTGTTTTGTCTATTGTGGTGCTCAAGGCTCAAGGGTTATCGTGCTTTGGTGGCGCTTACATTTACCAAATAACTAAATAATTTAGTCCGAGCTGTTGCTAGGGATCTTCAGATGACTGTGTGCTAATGTACTTCATGGAGTGTTGTCTGTGTTGCTACTTTGTTGCTGTGTTATTACAGGTGTGTGTAAAGGAGGTTTATGTGTGTTAATATGTATTAACCCTTTGACCTCCGGCCCCTGTGCAGACACAGGATGACCCCTGATGGGAGTCTGCTCATCAGGAACATGGAACAGAAGGATGCTGGAGTGTACGGCTGTCTGGCCAGCAACCTGGCTGGGACAGACACACAGACATCCATCCTCACCTATATCGGTGAGTAGGACACAAAAGACATGCAGACGGACTGACAGACTCCTTTAACCTGTGTTGTGCGCTGTCAGTCTCCCTCTCTCACACTGTCACCCCCTGGTCTCTTGTCTTCTCCCAGAGTCCCCCGTGGTGATTGTGGTGCTGAGTGAGATTCTGATTGGTCTAGGGGAAACCACCATCTTGGCATGCTCTGCCTCTGGGATCCCCCAGCCGGAGATCAGGTGGTACAAAGGTAAGGGATGTTGACTTGGAACAAGCCTCCTGTGTAGAGATGGATGATCAGAAGAGAAGAGTCCTTCATCTGTCGTTGAACATGGAAATGTAGCTTGTATTCCTCAGGACATTAAAATCCCAAATGGTTACTTAACCCTGACTTTAAGGTGTAAAGTAGAGGGCTGCATTCCCGCGGATCCCAACATCGATCATTGCGGAGCGGTAGGCATTTTTCAGACAGACAACTTTGGGATGAATATTTTTTTTGTCCTGCAGATTATTTGGAAACGGTCATCTTTCTGCTTTGTATGTGTTAGTCCTTCCTGTTGTATTAAAAACACATCTTTGTCACATTATTCACACACTCAGAATTCACTGCTTCACGTTAAGTGGCCTACCTCTCCTCTCCTAGTTGGGCGTGTGAGATCAAGTGCGGCTAGTATATGTGTGGTCTCAATGAAATGGAGTAGGCTGCCTATGCACGGGCGGAGAAGCACGTGGCAGTTATCTTTCCAAGGAAATTCACATACATATGATTAGGCTATAGTTTACTGTGGTGTCTGTAAATAGATATTGATAATGGAAAGAAGTGGAGTACTGGGTCCTGGCCTCTCGGGGGCCTAGGGATTCGGGGGGACGGGGGTGGTATGCTGAACACTGGGATGACGGCCCAACTTGGGACGGGGAGGGGCTTTAGCGGGGGAATTAGTGGAGAACAATTGGAGTGTTACTTAGTAGCAAATATCATGGTACAGCTATATCATGGACAGTCAATCGCTATGGTATTTTTTATTGGTAAATTTACAAACATATATAATGATAAATATATTTCAAACTTGTCTCCCATTATGGTATGTGGTGAAATAAGTATAGCCAGTTATAATTGTATTGGCTTAGCAGATAATAACAAAAGAAGAACAATATTTACATGGCTCCAAGAGAAGGAATATAATATCTATTGTTTACAGGAAACTCATTCAACAATTCTAGATGAAGTTGCGTGGAAAAAGGAATGGGGGGGGCGAAATATACTTCTCCCATGGGCAAAGAAACTCAAAAGGGGTGATGATATTAATTAACAGTAATTTCGATTCGAATGTGCAAATTGTCCAAACAGATACGCAAGGTAGATGGATTATTTGAAATATGTTATTGGACCATAAACAGCTATGGCTCAATAACCTTTACGGACCAAATAATGATGATCCACACTTCTTTGACAATATATATAATACATTATCAACTCTGCAAGCAATTCAAGACTCTATTATTATGGTGGGAGATTATAATACCGTTTTTAAATAGCTCAATGGACCGTAAAGGAAATCACACTACAAACAATCACCCTCATGCTCTTAAGGAAATCGTGAATGTCATGGATACATTAGAACTAGTTGATATATGGAGGCTTAAATATCCTGATCTAGTGAGATATACATAGCGGAGACTCAATCAAGCTAGTCGTCTTGACTTCTTTCTTATGTCATTTTCGTTGGCACCAAAAGTTTTAAAAGTGTTGATAGGGGACAGAATGCGGTCGGACCATCATATAATTGGCATATACATTAATCTTACTGAATTTCCACGTGGGCGAGGATATTGGAAATTTTATCAAAGCCTATTGGATGATAACTTGTTTTTAACTAGGACAGAGGAATTTATAACTGTTTTTTTTCCGACATAACATAGGTACAGCAAATCCCCTTATTGTATGGGACACCTTTAAATGTGCCTTTAGAGGCCATGCAATTCAGTACTCATCTCGAAAACAAAAACAATTTAGGTCAAAAGAGTCCACACTAACAAAGGAAATAGAAGGTCTAACAGAACAGATAGATAGCAATAAAAACTGTAACATAGAGGCTCAGAATAAATTAGAGGAAAAACAAAAAGAAATTGAGAAACTTATTCAAGAAAGATCAGGTGTAATACACTGCTCAAAAAAATAAAGGGAACACTAAAATAACACATCCTAGATCTGAATGAATGAAATAATCTTATTAAATACTTTTTTCTTTACATAGTTGAATGTGCTGACAACAAAATCACACAAAAATTATCAATGGAAATCAAATTTATCAACCCATGGAGGTCTGGATTTGGAGTCACCCTCAAAATTAAAGTGGAAAACCACACTACAGGCTGATCCAACTTTGATGTAATGTCCTTAAAACAAGTCAAAATGAGGCTCAGTAGTGTGTGTGGCCTCCACGTGCCTGTATTCCCTACAACGCCTGGGCATGCTCCTGATGAGGTGGTGGATGGTCTCCTGAGGGATCTCCTCCCAGACCTGGACTAAAGCATCCGCCAACTCCTGGACAGTCTGTGGTGCAACGTGGCGTTGGTGGATGGAGCGAGACATGATGTCCCAGATGTGCTCAATTGGATTCAGGTCTGGGGAACGGCCGGGCCAGTCCATAGCATCAATGCCTTCCTCTTGCAGGAACTGCTGACACACTCCAGCCACATGAGGTCTAGCATTGTCTTGCATTAGGAGGAACCCAGGGCCAACCGCACCAGCATATGGTCTCACAAGGGGTCTGAGGATCTCATCTCGGTACCTAATGGCAGTCAGGCTACCTCTGGCGAGCACATGGAGGGCTGTGCGGCCTCCCAAAGAAATGCCACCCCACACCATGACTGACCCACCGCCAAACCGGTCATGCTGGAGGATGTTGCAGGCAGCAGAACGTTCTCCGCGGCGTCTCCAGACTCTGTCATGTCTGTCACATGTGCTCAGTGTGATCCTGCTTTCATCTGTGAAGAGCACAGGGCGCCAGTGGCGAATTTGTCAATCTTAGTGTTCTCTGGCAAATGCCAAACGTCCTGCATGGTGTTGGGCTGTAAGCCCAACTCCCACCTGTGGACGTCGGGCCCTCATAGAGTCTGTTTCTGGAGTCTGTTTCTGACCGTTTGAGCAGACACATGCACATTTGTGGCCTGCTGGAGGTCATTTTGCAGGGCTCTGGCAGTGCTCCTCCTGCTCCTCCTTGCACAAAGGCGGCGGTAGCAGTCCTGCTGCTGGGTTGTTGCCCTCCTACGGACTCCTCCACGTCTCCTGGTAGCGCCTCCATGCTCTGGACACTACGCTGACAGACACAGCAAACCTTCTTGCCACAGCTCGCATTGATGTGCCATCCTGGATGAGCTGCACTACCTGAGCCACTTGTGTGGGTTGTAGACTCCGTCTCATGCTACCACTAGAGTGAAAGAACCGCCAGCATTCAAAAGTGACCAAAACATCAGCCAGGAAGCATAGGAACTGAGAAGTGGTCTGTGGTCACCACCTGCAAAACCAGTCCTTTATTGGGGTGTCTTGCTAATTGCCTATAATTTCCACCTGTTGTCTATTCCATTTGCACAACAGCATGTGAAATGTATTGTCAATCAGTGTTGCTTCCTAAGTGGACAGTTTGTTTTCACAGAAGTGTGATTGACTTGGAGTTATATTGTGTTGTTTAAGTGTTCCCTTAATTTTTTTGAGCAGTGTATATTTGCGAGAAAAAAAACATAGGGGGGATTGGAAGTGATGCAGACAATTACATTGATGGAAGTTACAATCTATCTGAAATATTAAAGCTGATTCAAAAATTCGATCATCATTGAAAAGGAAACAGTGCAACGTGCGCATAGGTTACCATGGTGAGCCTTTTCCTTTTCAAAAAATATTGTTTACCAATTTATTTGTCACTGCCTACATATCGTCCCGCTCCAAAAAGGTTAGCTATATCCTATAAGTTTCCGCTCTCATCATTCTTGCTGCTTCCAGTTCAGTAGCCAGTTCAGGTGCGTGTGGTCTCAATATAAATGCAGTAGGCTATAGTCTATGCATGGGCGGAGAAGTACTAGGCAGTTATCTTTCCAAGGAAATTCACTTCCTAAATATGATTAGGCTATAGTTTACTACATTGCCTAGAAATAAATATTGCTCATATTTGTCTCTGTTTGAAAATCATCCCACTCGTTTTCTTTATTTTAAAAACTTTTTTACCCCCTTTTTTGTCATATCCAATTACGATCTTGTCTCATCGCTGCAACTTCCCAACGGGCTCAGGAGAGGCGGTCGAGTCATGCATCCTCCGAAACATGACGCGCCAAACCGCGCTCCTTAACACCCGCCCGCTTAACCCGGAAGCCAGCTGCACCAATATGTCAGAGGAAACACTGTTCAACTGACGACCAAGGTCAGCCTGCAGGCGCCTGGCTCGCCACAAGGAGTCGCTAGAGTGTGATGAGCCAAGTAAAGCCCCCCCCCGGCCAACGCTGGGCCAATTGTGCGCCGTCCTATGGGACTCCCGGTCACGACACAGCCTGGGATCGAACCCGGGTCTGTAGTGACGCCTCAAGCACTGCGATGCAGTGCCTTAGACCGCTGCGCCACTCCGGAGGCCTAAAATTGTCCCATTAGGGACAATAGGCTATAAAACGTAGCTCAAGATAAAGTGTCACCTCTCTCTCCAACTCTGCTCTCTTCAAACTATGTCTAGCCTATTAGCTGATATAGCCCAGAAATACTGATGGCCTAATATAATGGGCCACGTGACAATCTCTGGTAATTTAACCTATTTCTTAGGTTATATAGGGCGCAACATTTCTGGTACCATGGCTGGCAAGTGAGCTGCGTCACATATGCCTAAAATAACATTGTGGGACTGCAGGAGTGGGCGGGTGGGTATGAAAGCTGCGGGTGCGGGCGGGTGGGTATGAAGAAATCAGTCACACACAGACCTCTAGTGTAGAGAAACTGTTGCAGCCATAGAGACACACACACACACACACTTACAGAAACAGACACACACAGAGACATACACACATACACAGAGAAACAGACACAGACACACAGAGACACACACACACACACACAGACACATACACACACATAGACATACACATAGACACACACACACACACACACACACACACACACACACACACACACACACACACACACACACACACACACACACACACACACACACACACACAAAGAGACTTCTCATTCACATACCTCTGTGTGTTAGCCTTAATAAATCAGCTTGCCGTGGCCCTGGGCAGTGGGATAGGAAGTCGTATGTTTTATAGAGTGCAGAGCAGGAAGTGGAGTGTTTTATCGGCTGGTGCACAGGAAGTGCTCCTCTGACACCTCTGACACACTTGACTGACTCTGGCCGCCCCGTGGGAACCCTTAAAACGCTCCTGCCTTTTAGTCTAACCCGTAAAACGCTCCTGCCTTTTAGTCTAACCCTTAAAACGCTCCTGCCTTTTAGTCTAACCCTTAAAACGCTCCTGCCTTTTAGTCTAACCCTTAAAACGCTCCTGCCTTTTAGTCTAACCCTTAAAACGCTCCTGCCTTTTAGTCTAAAGCGTAAAACGCTCCTGCCTTTTAGTCTAACCCGTAAAACGCTCCTGCCTTTTAGTCTAACCCTTAAAACGCTCCTGCCTTTTAGTCTAACCCTTAAAACGCTCCTGCCTTTTAGTCTAACCCTTAAAACGCTCCTGCCTTTTAGTCTAACCCTTAAAACGCTCCTGCCTTTTAGTCTAACCCTTAAAACGCTCCTGCCTTTTAGTCTAACCCGTAAAAACGCTCCTGCCTTTTAGTCTAACCCTTAAAACGCTCCTGCCTTTTAGTCTAACCCGTAAAACGCTCCTGCCTTTTAGTCTAACCCTTAAAACGCTCCTGCCTTTTAGTCTAACCCTTAAAACGCTCCTGCCTTTTAGTCTAACCCTTAAAACGCTCCTGCCTTTTAGTCTAACCCTTAAAACGCTCCTGCCTTTTAGTCTAACCCTTAAAACGCTCCTGCCTTTTAGTCTAACCCTTAAAACGCTCCTGCCTTTTAGTCTAACCCTTAAAACGCTCCTGCCTTTTAGTCTAACCCTTAAAACACTCCTGCCTTTTAGTCTAACCCGTAAAACGCTCCTGCCTTTTAGTCTAACCCTTAAAACGCTCCTGCCTTTTAGTCTAACCCTTAAAACGCTCCTGCCTTTTAGTCTAACCCTTAAAACGCTCCTGCCTTTTAGTCTAACCCTTAAAACGCTCCTGCCTTTTAATCTAACCCCTAAACCTCTGCTCTGTCCACTTATTCTTTGAACGAGAAAGACAAAGGGAAAGATGAAGAGTACACACTCAAATAAAGAATGTATGATGATTATGTTCATTCGCATTTGATAATAGTTCATTGGTTTTGCTCGCCTGAGTTTATGTATTGAATAGGTTTTGCTCACCGGAAATAGAATACCTCATGATAAGCTGAAGACCATACTATTTACCAAGAGTTTTCATCTTTTTCATGGCTGTCTATTTACCACCACAAACCGATGTTGGCACTAAGACCGCACTCAACGAGCTGTATAGGGCAATAAGCAAACAAGACTAGGTGAAAAATCTGTCGATGTGCCCTTAAGCAAGGCACTTAACCCTAATTGCTCATGTAAGTCGCTCTGGATAAGAGCGTCTGCTAAGTGACTAAAATGTAAAAATATAAGAAAATGCCCATCCAGAGGCGGCGCTCCTAGTGGCCGGTGATTTTAATGCAGGGAAACTGAAATCCGTCTTACCTCATTTTTACAAGCATTTCGCCTGTGCAATTAGAGGCTAAAAAACTCTAGATCACCTTTACTCCACACACAGTCACCGGCTTCATTAATAAATGCATCGATGATGTAGTCCCCACAGTGACCGTACATACATATCCCAACCAGAAGCCATGGATTACAGGCAACATCCACACTGTGCTAAAGCCTATAGGCTTTGGGATGAATTGGAACGCCGACTGCGAGCCAGGCCTAATCGCCCAACATCAGTGCCCGACCCCACTAATGCTCTTGTGTCTGAATGGAAGCAAGTCTCCGCAGCAATGTTCCAACATTTAGTGGAAAGCCTTCCCAGAAGAGTGGAGGCTGTTATAGCAGCAAAAGGGGGGACCAACTCCATATTAATGCCCATGATTTTGTAATTGAGATGTTCGATGAGCAGGTGTCCACATACATGTTGTGTATCTACCTCAATTACCTCGCACCCCTGCACATCGACTAGGTACTGGTACTCCGTGTATATAACCAAGTTATCATTACTCATTGTGTATTTATTCCTTGTGTTATTGTTTTTCTACTATTTCTATTTTTTCTATTTTTTTCTCTCTGTATTGTTGGGAAGGTCCCGTAAGTAAGCATTTCACTTTAGTCTACACCTGTTGTTTATGAAGCATGTGACAAATAACATTTGATTTGATATGACCATATTGATGGTTGCCAACTTCCTGGTTAACAACTTCCTGGTTGCCCTTTATTTGACCCACAGGCGACCTGCAGCTGCGGCCGTCCTCCTACGTGGAAATTGACTCCCTGGGAGGGACTCTGACGATCAAGGAGGCACAGGACGTTGACGCGGGGGACTACACCTGTGTGGCTGCGAACCCTGCAGGAACCTCCTCACCTGGGAAGATCACCCTGGATGTAGGATGTAAGGATTCCTCTGGACTCTTGAACACATCATGAAAAAGACGGCTTGTAATTTTGGTTATCTGACATCTCTACACCCAGAAAAACCCAGTTTACCACCAGAAAATCACCTTGTTATATTGTCCCATGTCAAATGTTGCTTGCTGTGTAGATGGCTGTATTGATGAATGAATGTAGACTTTCTTCATGGTCTTGTAAGGGATTTAGCTCTTAGCGTTGTTGACCTTTGCCTTCCAGCTGCACCCCAGTTCACCAGAGAACCGTCTGACGTGGCGGCGGACATTGGCTCTAACGTGACCCTGCCGTGCCACGCGCAGGGTTACCCCGAACCCCAAATCACCTGGAGGAGGGAGGACAACGCACCCGTGTTCACCAGACGCCCCACACACAGCACCATCACACAGAAGACGGGAGGGGACCTGCAAATTAACAGTGAGGTTTCAGTTCATATACACACACACACACACACATACACACACACACACACTAATTCCTATCTCCTCTGTTCTATGGGTCAGATCTGTGGGTGGAGGATGAGACGGTGTATGTGTGTGAGGCCCAGAACCAGTTTGGGAGGATCCAGACCCACGCCAGAGTCACTGTCACCGGACTGGGTAAGAGACAGACAGGGATCTCCCATCACATGCTCTGGGTACTGTAGGAGGGGTACAGAGGCTAGGGTAGAGGAGGGTATTATAGGGGTACAGAGTGTAGGGTAGAGGGTATTATAGGGGTACAGAGTGTAGGGTAGAGGAGGGTATTATAGGAGGGGTACAGAGGGTAGGGTAGAGGAGGGTATTATAGGGGTACAGAGGGTAGGGTAGAGGGTATTATAGGAGGGGTACAGAGGGTAGGGTAGAGGAGGGTATTATAGGGGTACAGAGGGTAGGGTAGAGGGTATTATAGGAGGGGTACAGAGGGTAGGGTAGAGGAGGGTATTATAGGGGTACAGAGGGTAGGGTAGAGGAGGGTATTATAGGAGGGGTACAGAGGGTAGGGTAGAGGAAGGTATTATAGGGTACAGAGGGTAGGGTTAGAGGAGGGTATTATAGGAGGGTACAGAGGGTTGGGTAGGAGGAGGGTATTATAAGGGTACAGAGGGTAGGGTAAGGGTATTATAGGTGGTACAGAGGGTAGGGTAGAGGGAGGGTATTATAGGGTTTCAGAGGGTAGGGTAGAGGGTTATTATAGGAGGGGTACAGAGGGTAGGGTAGAGGAGGGTATTATAGGGGTACAGAGGGTAGGGTTAGAGGAGGGTATTATGGAGGGGTACAGAGGGTAGGGTAGAGGAAGGTATTATAGGGGTACAGAGGGTAGGGTAGAGGAGGGTATTATAGGAGGGGTACAGGTTGGGTTGGGTTATAGTACGAGGTATGGGTATTATAAGGGTACAGAGGGTAGGGTAGGAGGTGTTATTATAGGTCGGGTAGGTAGAGGGTTTTAGGGTACAGGGTAGAGGAGGGGTATTATAGGGGTACAGAGGGTAGGGTAGAGGAGGGTATTATAGGGGTACAGAGGGTAGGGGTAGAGGGGATGTGGGGTACGAGTAGGGTAGGGGTTATGGGGTACAGGGTAGGGTAGAGGAGGGTATTATAGGGGTACAGAGGGTAGGGTAGAGAGGGTATTATAGGGGGGTACAGAGGGTAGGGTAGAGGAGGGTATTATAGGGGTACAGAGGGTAGGGTATAGGAGGGTATTATAGGAGGGGTACAGAGGGAAGTTTAAATGCGCATGTGCCAATTGAATCTCAACAAGGAAACAGTCGATGGTTGTAGATTAACTTTTTATGAAAAAGTATGGATTTCAGCAAACAAAGAAAGGCACATAACTGCAGGGGAGAAACATAGGTACAAGGTTAGCATTTCATCATTTATTATTATTGTTCTTGGCTGAATCGATGAGTTGAATTCCATAAAGCCTGGTCTCTGCTCCACTCCGTTGGTGGAGTTCATCAGAAACGTCCTTCACCATGGAGTGGAGTTTAGTCAGCTAGACCTAACTCATCAAAGGTCAGGTCTGTCTTTTGTTGCGTGCAAAGACAGAATGCTACTTTTGAAATGAAAGTAATATTTTCACTGGGAGCAGCAGAGGAAAGCGCTCAGGGTTTGAGTGATATTTCAGTTGTGTTGGAGTTGTGTGTGTGAGGTATGGTCAGATTGCATTGAGTTTATTTGGAAGCGAGGGAATGTAGGGGTGAACTTAGCGGAACGCAGCTCAAATTCCCTGGCACGGTTTGAAGGGGATGTCAGTTCGTGCAGATGTCATGGGAGAAAAAAGACCTAAATCACAGTGAGAAAGAGAGAGTAGCGAGAAACACTGAGTGTACAAAACATTAGGAACACCTGCTCTTTCAATGACATAGACTGACAAGATGATTCCAGGCGCACCGGTTTGAGTTAAGAACTGCATCACTGCTGGGTTTTTCCATGCTCAACAGTTTCCTGTGTGCATCAAGAATGGTCTACCACCCAAAGGAGTAAACATGGGCCAGCATCCCTGTGGAACGCTTTCGACACTTGAGATGGAGGGCGGGAGAGGGAGAGGGAGGGGAGGGAGGGAGGGAGGGAGGGAGGAGGGAGGGGGAGATAGGGAGGGAGAGAGAGAGAGGATGAGAGAGGAGAGAGAGCTACGATCAGGAAGAGGGGAGAGCCTTCTGAGGAGGCTCGAGGCCCTCTCGAGCTCTCTCTCTGCTTCTCTCCTCTGCTCTCGTCTCTCTCGCTCTCTCCTCTCTCTTCTCTCCTCTCTCTCTCTCTGAGACCGAGATTAGCGGAGCTGTGGACCGTCTGTGTTAAGTTGAGCCTGTGTGTGCCTGCGAGCAAGTGTTACATTCATTGGACTCCTCTCTCAGAAAAGATGCCGTGCTTTGGTATTAGTCAAAGCCTATTAACACATTGAAATACCTTGACTTTGAGTAAGAACAGCAGGTCCACTGTAGTCTTTAAAGGATCCATGGTATGCATGCAATCCTATATATTTCTATTTGATTAAAGCGGGAGAGACACATATATGGCTGGGCAGCATCCATAGAGGAGATTGTTGATCGGAGTCCAGAGTTTGGTTTCTAACTTCAAAGCCCAGCCCTGTCAAAGCCCATACACTTCTTTGGATTGTATGTGACTGTAAATGTTTGTATGTGTATGTGTTAATATGAAAAGCCCGCG